GGCTTATTGATTTGGGTTTTGAGTCACATTTGTAGTAGGTATACCTTTGGAAAGAAAAAGAGTGAGAGGTTTAATACTGCCAGGAGAATTCACTGCTTGTCTTACTAAATCTGATAATGATACATTTGAAAGTATTTTTTAAAAAGAGCTCTATGGTCAGAAGTTGCCCAACTGGAAGCCAGCATTTAGGGCCTGAGAGGAGCTGTTTTTAAGTCCCCTCACCTATAAGTAATTGGGCTAAAATGGAACTATGTACTCAGAGGGAAAGAAACCCTTTCCTAGCACAAACTCAAGCCTTTGTGCAATAACATAAAAAAACATCCCAAAGGCACATGCCTAAATCCACGATTTAGGAATCCTTAGATTTTCATCTTAGTTGAAAATCTCCCTGAAATAAAGAAACAAATTCTTTTTTTTTTTAAGATTTTTTTTTTTTTAATTTACTCATGAGAGACACAGAGAGAGGCAGAGACTCAGGCAGAGGGAGAAGCAGGCTCCACGCAGGGAGCCTGATGCAGGACTCTATCTCAGGACCCCGGGTCATGCCCTGAGCCGAAGGCAGGCGCTCAACCACTGAGCTACCCAGGCGCCCCAAGAAACAAATTCAAGACAATGTTGTTGGACAGGTGAGTCAGCCCCTTGATATTATCACTGAGGTGACCAAATTGTTTGAGGTCAAAAGTAAAAACAACTGTCCCTATCTTACTAATTGAATCTTCACAAAGACATAAACTGAGACCCTAGAAGTAACTCAAAGCCCACCCATCCTTCTTACCCATTCCCACGTGTCCCTTGTTCATCTGACAAGCCTGGCAGATGCTGTAAACAGCAGGATGTAGCACTTAAGGGGGAAAAAGGAAATTTAAAAATATTAATTGCCCCAAGCGTCTGATAATAGGAACTGTCCTTTCTTTGAAATGCAAACTTCCAAGGAGGTGGGACTTCCCCATCTTCTCAAACTTTGAGAAAATGAACTGGAGATTTTATCCATTCATAGGAGTTTTTCAAATCCTCGGACCCCCTGTTGGTGTTTCCAAAAGGTCTCTTGCCCAAAATTCAATCCGTACTTCTATAACATTACATATCAGAGCGAAGGAAAATCTTAAAAGTCTTCTCCACAAATATTCGTAAAACTGAGTAGGTAGCCTAAACCTGTTCCATCTGCCAGAAACACAATTTGAATCCAACTGTTTTATATAAATATGTGGGGTTTGAATTCCATGTTTGCCTGACACAGGGCTAAAATTTTAGGATGAAAGCTTTAAGATTCTCGTTTGTGTCTGCCTGCATGTTTGTATATTGGTATTTTAGGATATGTATATGTGGTGTTTAATTCCTCCAGACAGTATTGCCAGAATTAATCCAGAAAATCTCATGTAAGAGATCCATTTGGGGGCCCCTGAGTGGCTCAGTTGCTTAAGTGTCCAACTTTAGATTTTGGCTCAGGTCATGATCTCAGGGTTGTGGGATTGAGCCCTATGTCAGGCTCTGTGTTCATCACAGAATCTGCTTGTCCCTCTCCTCTGCTCCTCCCCCCACTCTCCCTCTCCTTCTCCCTCTGTCTCTCTCTATATATATCTGAAAAATAAAATCTTTAAAATCTGCTTCTTGGGGGGTCCCTGGGTGGCTCAGCGGTTGAGCGCCTGCCTTCGGCCCAGGGTGTGATTCTGGAGACCCGGGATCAAGTCCCATATCGGGCTCCCTGTGTGGAGCCTGCTTCTCCCTCTGCCTGTGTCCCTGCCTCTCTCTCTATCTCTCTCTGTCTCTCCCTCCGTGTCTCGAATGAATGAATGAACAAATGAATGAATGAACAAATGAATGAATGAATAAATAAATAAATAAATAAATCTTTTTAAAAAATCTATCTCTTTATGAAAAAATAGGATCTATTCTAATTGGTTTAGAAAAACACAAGCACATATATAAAATGATTACTTCTAAAACTTTCAGGAAAATAAGAACTCATCTAAGCAGCTTTCAAATTCACATGAGCTTAAATAATCTTTAGTAAATAAAACTAATTTAATATTGCTGGTTTAGGGAATCCCTGGGTGGTTCAGCGGTTTGGTACCTGCCTTTGGCCCAGAGCGCGATCCTGGAGCCCCGGAATGGAGTCCCACGTCAGGCTCCCGGCATGGAGCCTACCTCCCCCTCTGCCTGTGTCTCTGCCTCTCTCTCTCTCTCTAGGTCTATCATAAATAAATAAAATCTTTTAAAAAATAATGGAAATTTAAAAAATAATAATATTGCTGGTTTAATAAAAACAGATATATCTTCAAAGTTGCCAGCATTTAGGATAATGCAGACATGCCATTTTTATTCTACGTTGGGTTTACCACTCAAATAAGCTTCTGTTATTTCTACTAGATATTGAAGACTGTTGACTTAATTAAACAAGGAAGCCATCACGTTCAAGTGCCTCTAATGCTCTTGGCAGCCTACCCAAGCAAATCAAAACCAAAGCCTATAAATACCTCAAGGTGGTGAAACTGAAACCCAAGGGCAACCAATCACAAATAGCCACCTAGGCTTTAAGCTGTAGACAATTTTCTCACTTGGCTTCCACACCTCCCCTGAGTAGTTCCCTAAGCTCCTGTCCATAGAGCACTTCTAACCACTTCCGGTTTGGCACTAACCTGTCTGAATAGACTTTTGCTCAAACACTCTTTTCTTTTTTTATTGAGGTATGGTTTTATTGAGGTATATAGTTCTCTCTCATAAATGAATAAATCTTAAAAAAATAAAAATTATAAAATGGTGTTCTTTGAGCTGGGCTCAGCCTATCCGCAGAGATGGTTTTGGCTAGAATTCCCCGGGGGGCACTCACCTGGGCCGTCCCACTTGTGGCAGCCCCCACAGACATTTTCCCTTTCAGAGCCAGTGTTGTGGCTAGACCAGTTTTTGTTACCATGAGCACAAGACTCACCTCAGCAATAACCATTAGAGAACTTTGAGAAAACAAGTTTTATTACTCATAAGTCATGGAAAATACACACAAAAGGGTGTGTACATGGGGCCACACAGCAGGCTTGGAGTGGGGGGAAAGAAGGAGAGAGAGGGAGGGACAGAGGGAGAAAGGGAGAAACTGGAGTTCTTCCTTTAATGAATTTGGGGTACTTCATCCTAAAAAATAAAAAGGGAATTCCAAAACTTTAGCAGAGAAGCTGATAAGCTCATGAAACTGTTAACTCAAGATCAAGCAAAACAAGAATTAAGTACATGGGGATGCCTGGGTGGCTCAGCAGTTCAGCATCTGCCTTCGGTTCAGGGCATGATCCCAGGTGCAGGGATCAAGTCCCACATGGGGCTCCCCACAGGGAGCCTACTTCTCCCTCTGCCTATGTCTCTGCCTCAATCTGCGTCTCTCATGAATAAATAAATAAAATATTTAAAGAAGAAGAAGAAGAAGAAGAAGAAGAAGAAGAAGAAGAAGAAGAAGAATTACATGGAACTGAATGAACTATAAAAAAATTATTATGAAAAAATAATAATAATAAAATAAAATAAAATAAAATAAAATAAATTATTATGATTTTTTTCATGGCTTTGACCAGGATATGACTGATTCTTTAAGGTTTTATTTTCCAGATTCAGGGAAATTTTTTCTTTTAAGCTATCCATAACTTATAGCAACTTGGTAAGTTATGCTTCTTTTAAACAGAAACAAAACATTTATTTTTCTCCTTACCTGACACCTCCAGAATTAACTCTTATGAAATATTCTTATTTTATGGCAAGATAGTTATTTGCAGAAGTTCAGTGAATCTGTCTCCTAACAGGACACAACTGGAAAGACTGATTATATTACAAAGGCTTTGACTGGAATGTCATATTTGAGGATGCTGTGCATAGAATCAGATATTCCAGACAGTCAAGGAACTAAGGTTGACTTTATGGAACCAATGTTTATAAAGATCCTTAGAAAAATCAGCCTGGAATCTGGTTTATGTGGTTCCTAATCTTATGAGTGAGTAAGGAAGGTCCCTTCCTGGCAGACCCAGGAAACTCAGGATCTGGGGGGACCTCAAGAAAGAGATTTACCCAAATCTATAGGTGTTGCAGGAAAAGTCTGTCGGTGAGTTCTTGACTTGGCATCTTAGCCTCCAGATCCTTTTAAAAGTCTAATTTGAGATTCCTTATAACACTTCCAACAAGGGGCGCCTGGGTGGCTCAGCCGGTTGAATGTCTGACTCTTGATTTCAGCTCAGGTCATGATCTCAGGGTTATGAGATCAAAGGCCCCTTCACCATCCAACTCTGTGCTCAGCATGGCGTCTGCTTGAGATGCTCTCTCCCCCTCTTTCTGCCCCTCCCCCCAGCTCATGCTCTTTAAATAAATAAACAAATAAATAGAATCTTTTTTAAAAAATTCTAGTAAAACAAACTTTAAAAGATCCATAAGGTCACTTACTACTCTTACTGCAGTTACATGAATAATCAAGCTACATTTAATGAGACTAGACTTATTTTGCAACCACAATAGTCTTGCTTTATCTTTGACAGAAATGGGCATGATTGTCCTGAGAAAGTTTGTGTTTCAGTGGGAAACTATAACCCACCCTTGTGAGTGTTCATTGTCTTTAAGTTATTTTTTATTCCTTTGTAAACTGGATGCTGCTATATTATGCATTTTCTCAGTGATCAGTGCTTCCATTTTCTCCTCTCACCCTCCTGACTTGGTGCCTCTGAGAAGTGAAACCTGACAACCCAGATCCTAACTGGGACTATGTAAAGAAGCCCTGCAATCTGAAGCTGAATGTTTCAATGCTCCACTAGAGAAATAACCATGCTGTGACACTGAATCTGTACCATCACCAAAGATGTTCAAACTGCAAACCAGGAAAGTCAGACTGCCCCTGCCCTGCCGGCCTTTACTCCACCAGCTAAAGATGCTTCAAGCCTACCATCTAGAAACCTTCTCAACTGACATCCCTCTGAATTCAGAAAGCAGGTGTATGTCTGCTCTAATCATTACTTCTTGTTTTTCTTTTGTTTCCATAGACATGACCCTCATCAAATGCCTGATTGCTCACACTCTCTACAAGCCTGGCTTAGGTGGGTGCCCTACTCCCATCTGTACCACCCGTCCTGAAATGAGACACGACTGTTTAACTGGACTGAACTCTTCCCCAGACTGAGAGACTGATTCAACGAGATTTGGGGTGATATCCTTAGATTTGTTCTTTTCTCCTTATTCTTGTTTCAGTCTGTATTCTTTTTGTGCAGATCTCTTGCCTTACTGACCTAAACCTCTCTCCACAACTACCAATGCAACTTTCAATGTGTGAGACTTCGTGTAAAGTTTCAGATGGAGATCAGCATACGTCACCCCAAAGTATGTCACTATTTTAGGCAGATGGGGGGGAAGAAAGCTCCTCCTATGTTTATTCTTTCTTTTTTTTTTTTTACTTCAGATCAAGAAATTCTTATGCCACCAGAGGCAGGAAAGTCATCATTCTCACTGCAGTCCTCACTCTACCATCTAAAGATTCTTCAAACCCAACACCTAGAAACCTCAACTGACAGCCCTCTGAACTGGTGGTATATGGTCTACTTACTAGAACCATTATTTTTTTGGTTTTATATTGTTTCCTTAGAAATGACTGTCATTAAATGCCTGATTGCTCATACCCTGTACAAGCCTAACTTAGGTGGCCTTCAATTTTTCAAGGAAATTTCCACTTGCAAAGGTGTTTCCCTCTCCTATGCACAGAACAAGAGAACTACAGAGACAATCTCCTCACCTGGGATGACTTGAAACTGCATAAAAACCTTATAAAATAACCTCTATTTACCATAATTTTCTATTCACTTTCCAACAATTTACTAATTCCCCTTTTTCTTTGCCTAGTTTCTTCTCAATTCATCATCTTTTTTAAAATGGCAGATAAAATCCTCAGACCAACTGCACCTCCTGGGTTTCTCTTCTTTTCTGAGAAGTCTCTGTACACATGCAAAATAAACTTTTTCTCTTGTTAATCCATCTTTTGTGACTTTAATTCACATGCCCCGGTCACTAAACATAAGAGAGCAGAGGAAGTTTTTTCTTCTCCTAAATTTATAAGTGCTTTGGATTTGGATCAGGGCTTTGGATTTTAACTTATCAAGGATATACCAACGCACCACTGGATATACATGTAACATTAAAAAGGTGAAATTAAAAGCCCTGGAATACTCAATTAGAAGTATTAATTTATGTGGTATTTTTTGTCATGTGTGTGCACACGTGTGCCTGTGTGCATTTGTGTGTCTTTGTTTATTTCCTAACTCTGTCCCTGAAAAAGCCTAGCCAAGATTACTAGAGTGATGTCTAAAGGATTTAAAGGCAAACTGGAAAGGCTCAGGTCAAAACTCAAGATGTTTGAACCTTAATAAAGATACTAATTACAGGGATGCCTGGGTGGCTCCGTGGTGGAGTATCTGCCTTCAGCTCAGGGCGTGATCCCAGGGTCCCCGGATTGAGTCCCACATCGGGCTTCCGGCAGGGAGCCTGCTTCTCCCTCTGCCTGTGTCTCTGTCTCTCTCTGTGTCTCTCATGAATAAATAAATAAAATCTTTTTTAAAAATGAAATGAATAGAATACAAAATAATACAAAATATTATTCAAGATTAAGTCATGTCAAAAGCAAAATCATTCCTTTTGAAATCCTTTCAACTGCTTCACAGCAAAAACAGAAATACATATAGTTTTTAATATGGATGTGGGTGAATTTTAATGCTTAATATGTGCAGTGGAGCTTTTAATTTGAAATGAGCCTGGAGCTTACAAAGTTCTTAAAATGACCTGAAACAGGTGCCATGTGACGACTTTGAACTGGATATAACTGGGTGCATGGCTATGACTCTAGGTAACCTTCTGTGAGGTGTAATAGTTAGACATTCCAACTGTGAGACGAACTTCCTGGATTTAAGTCCCAACTCTACCACTCATTAACTGTGTGGTCTTCACAAATTCTGCATCTATGAAGTGAGAGTGATAACAATAAGTACTTCACAATATTCCCGTGAGGATTACACACTTTACTAGATATAAAATGTTAGAATAGTACCTGGCACATGGTAAGTGCTCAGTGGGCATTAGCTGAGATGACCATAAACTGGTGTGGGTGTCCCACGCTGTGCGAATAATGGCACGGAGGCCAACCTTGTCTGCGTGTGCCTCTACTCTCCAGAGCTAGAGAGCAAACTTCTGTGGTGGGGCAAGGGGTAGGGGAAGGTCAGGAGCAGGCCAACTGTAGACCACCATTCCTGTGACCCATCACCCCACTCAGCTTCTAGCAAATGCTAAGCACAAGCATCTCCCAGTGCTCCTGTTAGTACCCACACACAAGCAAACACACCAATGGACATATCCTTTAGAGCAGCCATCAGCCTTTACTCTATACTCTTAACTCATCCCAACATTCCATTCTTAGCGGTTGAACATCTGCCTTCAGCCCAGGGCGTAATCCTGGAGTCCCAGGATCAAGTCCCATATCGGGCTCCCTGCATGAAGCCTGCTTCTCCCTCTGCCTGTGTCTCTGCCTCTCTCTGTATGTCTCTCATGAATAAATAAGTAAAATCTTAAAACAATAATAATAATAATAATAATAATAATGTGTTAGCTTGTATGAATGAATACAATCATTTCTCTTTTCCTGAGTTATTACTGAATTAGTGAGCACTGAGCCATTGTTCCTCAAAGACTTTAAAAGAGCTTGTTCATTATTTTTAAATGCATAGAGGTAGATATAAATCACTATGGCATTTATATTCCCTTGGATACATTTAAAAGACAGATGTAACAGTTTCATTTAAATGTGTTGATATTTATATTAGACTAGCAAGTAAATCCTTTGCAACTATTTAAACCTGTGAAGAAAATATTCACTTACTGTGGGTGAAAGGGTACACATTTTTTCAAAATTCCTTTAAGGTTATACAATTGAAAAGCTGAAAGTTACTGAGCTAGATGAGAAGAAATATCTTCCCCACTCAAAATGAGAAGGTTGAGCCCTTGAACTTTTAACATAGACATGTTCTAGTTTTATTCACACAAATACAGCTTATATAAACTATACAATTATTAGGGAACAATGACATATTTGGGAATACTGCATTCCCAGACTTAGTTGAGCCAGACATGGAAAGATATTTACATACAACAAATAAAATAAAAATAACAAATAAAAATGTGAGGGCGCCTGGGTGGCTCAGTCAGGTAAGTGTCTGCCTTGGGCTCAGGTCATGATCTCAGGGTCCTGGGATGGAGTCCCACATTGGGATCCCTGCTCAGTGGGGGTCTGCTTCTCCCCCTCCATCTGCCTCCCCCCAGTTCCTGCTCTCTCTCAGTCTCTCAATTAGGTAAGTAAAATCTTTTTTAATTTAAAATAAATCAAAATGTACCACGCAGGGATCCCTGGGTGGCGCAGCGGTTTGGCGCCTGCCTTTGGCCCAGGGCGCGATCCTGGAGACCCGGGATCGAATCCCACGTCGGGCTCCCGGTGCATGGAGCCTGCTTCTCCCTCTGCCTATGTCTCTGCCTCTCTCTCTCTCTCTCTGTGACTATCATAAATAAATAAAAAAATTTTTTAAAAAATGTACCATGCAAACTACGAAAACACATAAGACAACTTCACTACACAAAAAGTTATCTGCTCTGTTTCCCTCCCACAATCAGTCAGCAGGCAGTTATTAAGTGCCTTTTATTTGTCAATAATGTTTGAGGCACCTGGCTGGCTCAGTAGGTAGAGAAGGTTCACGATACTGTTGATCTCTCATGAGTTTGAGGCCCGTGTTGGGCATAGAGATTACTTAAAAAAAAAAAATAATGTGTTATCTTAGGGATGACTGGGTGGCTCCATGGTTGGGCGGCTGCCTTTGGCTCGGGGCATGATCCCGGGGTTCCGGGATCGAGTCCCACATCGGGCTCCCTGCATGGAGCCTGCTTCTCCCTCTGCCTGTGTCTCTGCCTCTCTCTGTATGTCTCTCGTGAATAAATAAATAAAATCTTAAAACAATAATAATAATAATGTGTTAGCTTGTATGAATGAATACAATCATTTCTCTTTTCCTGAGTTATTACTGAATTAGTGAGCACTGAGCCATTGTTCCTCAAAGAAATGCTAGGTCAGGTTCCTGCAGGCCACTGGTCACAAATTGTTTGATGTGTGTTTCTGTTTTAAGACACCTTCTTTAATACATACTGGTGATTCATTATCCTTGAAATCACAGCCTACAACTCATGCTGAACAAAGCTTATCTAACACAGGCACTTTCTCCACAAGGCACATCACAGCCTTCTTGCTAAGCTTAGGGACACTGGGCCACACTTCAGCATTACATTTGGTGGGATTATAAACAAAATAGTCAACACAAAGCACCAAAATCCAAAATGCATGGCACTAAATAGAATGTAAAAGGATACTTGTTTACAGCATGAGAGCTGAGACAAGGCTGCAGAGAGGGTCTTGCTGGACCTCAACTGGAAACAGGCATGTTAGGAAATTCATCTTTTTTGTCACTCTCATGCTTCTGTGAATAATGTTGGGGTTTACTTTAGGAAGTAAGCAAATTCACAAACACAGAATCCATGGATAATGAAGATCAATTATAAATACACGTTCAAGAAATGTTAACTCTAGCTCTAAAGAAAGACAAAAACAAACAATTTAAGTGTTAAGGTAGGTAGACTTTGGTTAAGATAGAGAGGAAGCAGGGTACTGTCTAGAGCAACCTAAGACCAAGATTGAAATAGTATCTGTATCAGTTTCCTATTACTACTGCAACAAATTCTCAACATATACAGTGGCTTAAAAAGCAGATTTATTATTTTACAGTTCTGTAGGTTATGAGCCCTACCTGAGTCTCACTGGGCTAAAATCAAGATGTCAGCAAGACTCTGAAGGCTCTAGGGAGGAATCCCTCTCCTTGCCTTTTCAGCATCAAGAGGCCATCCATATTCTTTGGCTCATGGTCACTTCTTCCACCTTTTTTTTTTTTTAAAGATTTTATTTATTTATTCATGAGAGGCACAGAGAGAGAGAGAGGCAGAGACACAGGCAGAGGGAGAAGCAGGCTCCATGCAGGGAGCACGAGGTGGGACCGGATCCGGGGTCTCCAGGATCACACCCCGGGCTGCAGGTGGCGCTAAACCGCTGCGCCACCAGGGCTGCCCATTTCTTCCATCTTTAAAGCCAGCAATGATGGATCAAATCCTTTTCCCCTGACACTACTGACTTCCTCTTCCAACTCCCTGTCTACTTTTAAGGATTGCATATGATTATATTGGACCTACATGGATGATCCAGAACAATTTCCCTTTTTCAAGGTCAACTAATTGACAGTTGAGGAACTTCATTCCTCCTGACACCAAATACAGTGTCTTTCCCAAAACTACTTCTCCAACTTTCTAGTACCAACTGGGTGTCTTATAACTCAATTCAATTCTGACAGTAACTACCCATAGTTATTGTCAAATTCCACAGGTTTAAGTGTTGGTCCCACAAGACTGTCCTCATTTCATAGACCAATTCCATCGGGTCTCCAGGATAGCTTCACTTCTCTTTGACTTGGAAAGTCTCAGGTTCCCACACACACACACACCAACATTCAACTATTACTACAGTGACTCAAAGAACTGAGGAAAGTGCTGTACTTGCTATTAGAGTTTATTTTAAAGGATACAAATACACGCAGATGTAGAAGTACATAGGGCAAGGACCAGAAGTGGCCCAAGTGCAGGAGCCTCCAACTTATGGAATGGGGGTGTGCCTCCCTCCCAGCACATGGGTGTATTTGCCAACTCAGAATCTCTTCAAATCCCGTCATTTAGGTGTTTTATGGAAGTTTCATTATGTAAGCATGATTGTGGCCTTTGGCAATGAACTCAGTCTCCAGCTCTTCCCCGCTCCCCAGAGGTTGGTGTGGGTGAAGCTGAAAATTCCAAGATTCTAATCAACTCTTGACCTTTCTGGCAACTGGCCCCTATTCTGATGGTATCTAGGATAGCAAGAATCATGTCACTGGGACACCTCATCACTCTAGAAATTCTAAGGGCTTTAGAAGCTCTGTTTCAGGAACTAGGGGCAAAGACCAAAAATCTTTCTGCTCTTACCACAGCAACTTTAATTCCCCTTTGCCACATAAGGTAACATATTCACAGGTTCTAGGGACAAGAATGTGAACATCTTAGGCAGAGGAGGGGGCGTTATTCCACTGATCACGGCATCTATTGCAGTTTGCGAGCACTGTGGTACTTTAGGAAACTCAATGTGCTAGCATTTTGGTGCATGGACCGAGGGTTAGCAAAAGATTACAGCCCAAGTACTGTATTAGGTGATGGAGAGAAAATAGAAAGCGAGGAGTCTGCA